CCCCCCCCCCCCCCCCCCCCCCCCCTCCTTCTTTTCACTCGAGCTTCTTTGGTCAACTGTGATGGCACTTGCAGGTGGGCGTGGATCCAGCCGCGTATCGTGATATTGCTGATGACGTGGATTTCACCCAGAAGCTACTCCAAGAGCAATCCGTTTTTTGTCTGCCTGCCAAGGTTTTCGGCTTGCCCAATTTCTTTCGCATCGTCACAACCGTCCCTCAGGTGGGTCAGGCCGTCACAATTTTGTTTTTGTTTTTTCGTGCGTTGTACTCCTTCTTCCCATTGCCCGCGCACAACCGTGACACGCCAACGATGTTTTCATAGGAAAAAATGGAGGAGGCTGCTCGTCGCATGAAGGAGTTTGCGTCTGCCCACGCCAAGTAAATTTTGCAAGCCTCCGCCAAAGCACCACACAAGCACAGCACGGGAAGCCATCTCAATTGACTACTACACTTGAACAAGAGAACGAAACCAATCATAACCCTGAACAGTCTTGCCAGAAACCCGTACCCTGATCGGACCTAAGGCCTCAGTATTTTTTTTTACCTTGTCTGTTCTCTTGTTTTTGACAGTGAATGCAAATCTCTCTCTCTCTCTCAAACTCTCAAACTCTCTCTCAAACTCTCTCTCTCTCTCTCTCTAATCTCTCTCAAAATCTCTCTCTCTTTCTCTCTCTTCTCTTTTCTTTTTCTCGCGGAAGGAGGCATGGTACTGACGCTCGAGTTGTCTTTGCGCTAACGGGAGCAACGTCGAGCCATCTCCCCTTGCGTTGGATACAAGATGGAAGCCCTGGAAGAAGCGCCTTGGGAGTACAGCTTTCCGCCCTTTTTCACGTAGGCTTGATGTGTCCCCGTGTCCCCGTCTGTGTCACAAGTGATCGCATCGTTTCGTCTCACTGCGACTGACTCGGGCGAATGGGTACTCTGGCCCCTTGTTGCGGCGCGGGATGTAAACGATAGGCTTCAACCCAATGAAGAAACAAGGCGTCGGCAGCTGGCCACCTGGGCCGACTGGGTGCTCGCCTATACCAAAAGAGCCAATATCAACCGCCTGGTTGTCGCTGATGCCCCACAGATGGAGCTCTTCAGCAACCGTGCCATCGCTCGCAGCCTCAACGCGGACGGCATCAGATCTGTGCTTGACTATCTAGAACAACGTGGTGGGTTGATCGTTCGACCACTTGCCACCCGTGTTTCACAACATGCGTGTCCGCCTACTCTACACCCAAGGTCTTCAATGCTCACATCGTCTTATTCGACAGGCAACCTCGAATGGATCGATGGCGGAACCTCATGCCTTCTTATTTGGCAGTCGCCTGCAAGATGGGCTCAGCTCTTATATGATTGGGTGGGTATCTTGACAAGGCAATGACGAAGAAAGCAGTTGGCTCATCTCTCACTGGACGCGTTGCTTGCTTTATCTTTCAAAGGCGGTGCGAACCGGCAACACTGACACCGTCTGCACCTTTTACGAGCTGCGCGAGGGCGAAAGTACAGAATCTGAGCGTAAGCAATCAATTTGCCTGCTGTTTCAATCTGCGCCGCAGCACGATGCTCCACTCAATAGCTATTGGCATCGCTGTGGCGTGCCTCCCTCATAATGCCCTTGGTCAACGGCACTATTGCTTATTAGCTTTCCACGGCATTGATGCTGAAATGCTGCGCAAGGCAGTTGCAGCACTCCAACGCGAACACAAGGCCGAACTCATTCAGATGAATGATGCTCCCAATGATCTTGAGGATGGCATCAAGTTTTTCTAACAGTGTCATGCAGAGCATTGACGTTCAGCTGGTCAAGATCTTGTCTGCATCCAATGTGACGATAACAGCAAAAACCAAAGTCACCCTTGTTTTCCGCCACTGCCGATATGAGATCGGCGTCAATCTTTTAATTTCCGACAGGATGCCCTGATTGACTGGCCTTTACATAGCCGATTCAGCCACAGTCAATCAGATCTCCAGACATGTCAGTTGTTGACATGACACGGGTTTTATTTGTTTGGTTTTGTGCTTTTGGCGACTTTTTTTTTTTTTTTTTCAGATTTTTTGTTATTTTTCTTTTTTTTCTTCTTTTGGTCAAACCGTGTAGCGTCGTGGTGCTCCATTCTTCAGCTTGCTTAAGCCATTTCGAAATCTTTCTGCAGCGGTTTGATCCGTCCAGAAGCGAGACGTGTATATACCACCATCCATTGAGAGGTCACTGGGAGCTTTTGAGGCATGCTAGTCCCAGTAAGCTCATTTTTAGAGCTCAAAACCGGCACGGTTCTACCTGAGGCACGCTACGACAGTGGTAGCACGACGAGATTTTTGACACGTTAAAACCTGGCCACAACGTGTTCAAAATCTCGACAATATCTTATTGCGTGATTACATACAATTGATTGGGAAAAGAAAGCACAACACCGAGCTTGGAGACATGCAAGTCAAAAGCATTTCCGCGCAAGAGCCACAGAAAAACGGAAAACATGCAGTGTGTCATGGACATCACATGTGCGTTTGTGAAATGACTCTGCCTTTACTGCAGGAAAGCTGGGGTGAGGATGGGCATGGCAGGTTTAACGCCAGCGTCCAGAAGCCTTTGTCGAAGCTTGAGCATGCGTTCCTTGAGTGCAGGGTCTCTGTCCAGTTCATCCGAGCTGGCTAGTTGTGAGAAACGGCTATGAAGCACGTCCACAGCATTCATTTGTGTCTAAAAAACCATATCAACCAAAGTACATGAAATTAAAACAACGCCGTGTGCCCGACAAAAGTTGCAAAAGCTCAATGGCACCCCAGGCAGGTTGGCGGAGACGACTTACCCGATCAACAATGCTGCCATCGGCACCAAACTCGAGCATGATCTCAGCCATGTCGATTTTGCCGCCAAACAAGGCCAAGTTGAGCATGCACATGTTCATTCCGTCCATCTCATTTACTTTTGCGCCATTCTCCAGGAAGACGCGCACCACGCCAGCGGTGCCCGAGGAGGTCGCAAGCGATAGCGGGGTGGATGCCTGCCCAGAGCAAAACTTGATGTAAATTCAAGCCGTACAACACAAGCACATTCAATGGCGACAAGATCCCTCATGGTTAGAACGCAAAAGTTTTACCGTGACAAGGTTGACAGCATTGATGTCGGAACCCTGTTCAATCAGGTACTTGGCAATCTTAACGGCCGCGGCCTCATCTTTGCAAGATGCAACGCTATGTAGGCACGTCATGCCAAACTCCTATGTCATCAAACGGCCAGATGAGGAACGCAGGTCAGAGTGATTTTCTGAAACGAGGACAAAGCCTGTGCCTTATGCGAGATTGGTCAGACGCCACGCACCGCATCCTTGCTGTTACAGTCTGCGCCATTCTCAATGGCCTCTTTGACACCCTCAAAATCTCCAGAATTGGCGCACTCAGCCAACAGTTTCTGGGCATGCCAGAGAACAAGTGAGTCAATGCCTGGTCGCAAGTCCCTGATACCCCATCCCCAACCTTCGAGGTGCAAACATGTTTCAAGTGCGTGGAATTTCAGTGCCCACAAACCTGGAAATGATTTGCGGCAGTCTTTGAAGCAATGGTCTTGGTGGCATTTGCATCTTTCTTCGTCTTGTCCACGTTGTACTGGCCAAGTGAGACTGGACGATTGGAGAAGTGGGGTAATCGACATGCACAGTTGAGCTGAAGCGATCCTAGTGACAATTGCCGGCACCTCTGGCATAAACTCAAGCCGAGTTTCCTTGAATCTGCAAAACTCACTTTTCTGAAGGCGTGGCTCAAAAAGGCTGCGCTTGTCATTGAAGGCAACGGTGTATGTCTCATCGCCACCAAAAATAAGAGAGTTGTCCGGTGTGGCAAGCAGACGATGGATGGGAATCTCAAAGATGAGGGTCAGCAGCGGCTTCATGGTCACGGTCTCGAAAAAGTCCACATAGTTGCCATGGAGCAAAAGTGCGTAGATTGAGCGCGCGGGATTGAGAGCCGAATCCTGTCCAAGCAGGGTACAAGTGAGCACCAATGCTCCACAACTACCCATGGCGTAAAACAAGTTGGTTGAACACGTCAATGTTCGTCAAGCGTACCACGGCATAAGCGGTGTGCGAGACAAAGCCTTTTCCGACAAGCTGTCCGTCAGCCACAGCAATTGACGCGGCGAAGGTGGTTGTCGCAAGCATGATGTGTTGCCCATCAGCCGACAAAGCCAGGCAGGACGGAGAGAGGAGATCCTTGAGCTCCCACGACTTGATCTGCGCACACACACCCAGGGTGAACAAGAAGTTTTGCTAGCAGGTGATTCTCAGGTTTGCATCGCCATGACAACATACCAAACGAAGATCCTGAGACCATTGGCAAAGCTTTGCGTTGGAATCGATGGACCAAATGTGGTTTCTTTTGGCATCGTAAATCAGCGAAGTGATTTGCTTGGTATGAGCTTCGTCGTTGTGTACCACCTTTTTGCTGTTGATATCTACAACGGCCAGGATGCCGTGGTTGTCTTGGCCTAGAGCCACGCGACCTCCTCCCATGTTGACAACTTGTTTGCATCGCTCAAGGCATGGGGCAGTGAAAGTAGCGACCAATGCAGACAAGTCGTCCTTGATCACAATAACAGCGTCATAGCCTGTGATCAATAAAAGGCCGCCTTCCAGGGCTGTCGCTGCACACCACATGAAGGAGGCGGACACACCATCAATACTGTGCAAGCTGTCGTGTGTACCGCAGACCTAGGTCAAGGTGCAACGTGAGAGCACGAGCTGGTGCGACGCCCGTTGAGCTGCCTGAGAAACACGTCAGTGCTTAAGACCATACCTGTCCGGTTTTGGTGTCGACCACCTCAAAGGGGGGGTCCATATTTGTGTGCACAAGACATCGTTCGGGTGAAAGGAAGCACGCGCCTGTCAGATGGCGCATGGTGGCGGTCGTGGGCTCGGCTGCAGCTGACTCTGTCACTTTCTTGAGCGTGACAACGCCCCAGACTTTCACCGTCATATCGATGCCGGTCGTCAGGAGGACCGACTTATCAGGATAAAACTTGATGTAATCGGGCGCCAAGGTGTGCCCGGTGAGTTGCTGTGTCACGGTCCATGTGTCAACGTTCATAATCTTGATACAAAGGTCTTCCAGCACTGCAATGTGACTGGGGCCAAGACAAATGACATCATTCACAAGCACAAAAGTATCTGAATAATTTTTCAACTCTTCAAACCCATCCAAAGAGTACATCTAACAGAACACGAATCATGTAGGTTAGTGATGTACGTCTGTTTCCAAGTTTTAGCGATGTTCGGCAACTTGCCTTGAATGAGCGATGATTGCCGCCGAGGAAGATGCGCTTCTCATCGGGCATGACGCAGAGAATGGCCTTCAACGAAGCTGCTGTGGTGGGCTGAAGTGACACGGAGTACGTGTCCTTGAAGTCATTGAAGCCATCCACGTCATCATACTTGTTGATCAACTCCATCGAGTCGATGTCAACGACATGCATGTTTTGCATGGCATCAACACTGTACATGTGCCGACCGACCAACACACAACGCAAGACGGGGTGCTCATGGCCTTCGTATGTGCGCACTGGTGCCAAAGCCATGAGGTCCCAAACAATGATCTTGGTGTCAAGGCTGGCCGTTACCAGCTCCGTATCGCTCAACATGAAGGAAGACATGATAGACTGTTCATGGCCCTTGAGCTCGGCCTTTTGTAGCCCTGTGGTCGCTTCAAACACCTATTTGACGCCAATGTTGGGCAAAGTTTTATGTGAGAAGTAGCGAAGAGTAAGCGGAGGGAGATGGCACAGCAGAGAGTAGAGCTACACTGCTCGAACAACAATTTCTACACACCTTCATGACTGGTACACCCATGCTCGCTTGCATAACACCACCTGGAATGGTGACACATTGTCGTTCCTCATCAAACAAGTACACTTGGTTAGCATAATGACTATAGAGCGTGCAGTCGACGCCGGGGTTGAGGTCTGGCAGGGAAAAGCTTTGCATGGCTGCACCACCGGCGATGACCATGATTGAGTCCATGTTTTTGCTCAAGTCCGCGGAAAGCAGGGCCTTGTTGATGGCGATGCTGTGAGCGTTGCAATGCAGAGCCATCACATGACAAAATTAAAAAATTCAAAATTAAAAAAATAAAACAATAAAAAGAAAAAAAGAAAAAGAAAAAAAAATAAAAAAAAATAAAAAAGAAAGAAAAAAAAAAGGGGGGGTGGGGGGGGGGG